AGATGATCAAGAAAGGAAAAGGGGCGCGCAAAGAGCAAGGCGGGAGAGGGAGAGAGAGAAAGAAAACAGTTACGGGGCGAGAGAAAGAGGAGGGAGAAGGGGAAAGGAGCACGGGAGGGAGCGATGCGGGGGACAGAGAGGAGAAAGCTTTGCACGCGCGGCGCCGTCAACGAAAAAAAGAGAGAGAAAGGCACCGAAACAGTTACAGCCTAATTCAAAATTGAAATCACCATATCCGCGCGCGAAAGAGCGACGCCGGAAAAGAAAATCCTATGCCTATTCGTATTCGCACAAAATTCCGAGAGTTTTCCCCGACGCGACCAAGAACATTCACACACACGAAAAGGACACGTCGAGGTTCCGCTTATCTCGGAATTCCCAACTGCCGAGCCCAATTCCCAGTGCGCTTGCTAAGGCGCACGTAATTTCCTATGTATTTCCCAAATTGCAGAAAGGAAAAGCAGAACCCGAGAGTCGAAAAAGCTTTCCGAAAGATGGGAGCCAAGAACGTGGTACCCAAAATCAAGAAAACAAAACGGGGTTTTTATGGGGTTAGTATGATACAAGCAAAAAGGGGTACGAAAGATAGCACGGGTTCGGGAAGTGGTTTGTCACATATGTGACGCGCAGGGGGTTGCGAAATTATGCGATCTCTTGATTGCATGTCATGGCAGAACAGAGTGATGCATGAGGAACCAAGCGTATCAACAAACAATCCAACCAGAGTCCATGTTGACGCCAACTTTAATTGCAGTTGTCTGTTGCTGGAATCCTCAATGGTCGTCCAGGTGACGCCATCATCGTCCGCTGGTTCTCCGTGTGCTTGCCCCCAGCTGGTTGTTGCCCGTCGAATCAGAGCGTGAGTTGACGTTATCGTCGATGGCGTGATCTTTGTGAAGCTTACTGATTAGTGTCGTTTCCCCCCGCTGATTGGATGAAGAGAGGAGAGGGAGAGAGGGGGTGGGGGGGGTAGTGATGTGATCGGGATCTACCTCCTAGTTGGAATGGGCCAACAGAGGCGGTACATGGAGGGGATTTCACGAGGTCGACAGGGAGGAAGTGGGGGTAGGAAGCGATTCATTCCTTCCATCGCCACCGGAAGCTCCTCATATCGGATGATCCGGTGGAAGTGGGGGAAGTGATCACCGCTGCGAGGGAGGGAAGCAAGGTAGTCGCGATAGAAGGAGGAGAGGGTGCGGAAAAGCGCCGCTCGAAAGAACTCGTAGTGGCGACAGGGGGGGATTGTCCCCGTAGCAACGCAGTAAACCTCTACCACGTTGCATCGCTCCCATGCAGCGCTGAACAGCAGGAGATGCCAACAGAACGTGGGGGCAGCGGATTGAAGGGAGGCGTGGGGGTGGACGGTGGCGAGTAGGCGGGKAGAATAGAAGTCGCGGAAGAGATGGGGAAGGAAGGGATGGGAAGGGAAGGTGACGGGGGCACGGATCTGCTCGAGGGTGAGGAAGTCAAGGGGTCGGCGGGAGAGCGTCCGAGGACGAAGGCCTATCGCCGGCATCGGTACGTGGGCGAACTGGGGGACGGGTGGGGCTGGAGGAGGAGGAGGATCTGCTCCGTCTCCATCGCGCGGTACTTGAGGTGGCGGCTGCAGGGTCGCCATCTTCGGGCTTTGACGGCTCTGGATCCCTGGTCGGATCGTTACCGATGCGTAGGCTAGCTTCGCAAGCGAACTCTAGCTGGCGCTTCCCGGTGGCGCTTTCGCGCTGCTTTCGAATCTTCCGCCTCCGTTCCCGTACGCGTCGCTTCTTCCGACAAGGCTTCCCACTCGGATCCGGTTTCTTCTTCCTCCTCTTCTCCTTCGCTCAGCTCGCCCTCGCTATGTTCACTATAGCTTCCCTCCTCCGATGTTTCCTCGTTTTCGTCGTCTTCGTCGTCGTCGTCGATCACCACTTTCTCTGCTTTCGGATAGAAGGCGTGAGGGATGATATCGTATGGCTTCAGATACTCCTGCCGCGATGGTAGCGTATCCTCATCCCTGGGTTCCTCCAAGCACGCAGTCCATTGAAGGTACGGATTCAATGATCGCTCAAAAATGTATGGAGCAGGATTGTCGTCACTCTGTAAATAGATGTCGGGCGAGAGATCGTCCGCCAATTGCACGATTGGTGCGATGAGCTCTTGCGCAATCAGCTGGCGGCACCCCGGCACCTTGGCTGTACCGATCCAAAGAGAAAGCCAAGAAGATCGCCCTCCGCGTTAGTCCTCCAAGCTTGGATGATTAGGAGTTTCGGATTTTCGATTCACGCAGGATGCCCGCTGGTCTGTGTTCACGTCACCTGTACTCTGGCCAAGCAGAAAGACAGTTCCTCAGAAGTTTCGCGCCACAACCACCAATGTCCAGGATTGATAAGAGGGACCGAAAGAGGCTCGAACGAGAAGGAAAGAGAAGGATGAAGATCGGATTGCCAGAAGGTGGGGAAGAGAGAGGGGAGACCAAAGATAGAGAGAGGAGCGAGAAGATCGGCGTGGTTCATTGGGGATGTGGGAAGGGGACGAGGGTTGGGATCGCAACTGGCCGCTCACGCGGTGATCGGCGAATATTGCCAAAATCCGATGCAAAGATCGGGATGAGGTTATACCCTTGTCGGGCGAGGACGTGCTGCCACACGTTGGACACTTGCTCCGTCCACTCGCGCAGCGAGGTCAAGATCGCGGTATGCCACTGCGGATTGACCGAGCTGATGTCGCCGCTGAACGCCGCAACCGTGGTGACGTGGCTCGTTCTGGGGCCCGCTCGCCTATGAATTGCGGTTACCTCCGCGAATACTACTGCGTGAGGACTTCCTTCGATTCGAAACGCGGCGGCGGCACAAATACCTTCGTCGCAGGAGAATCGCATCAAACGCCGAAGATCAGCATTGAGCCGAGGGTGACAAACTTGCCGAATCTTTGAGATGTGGCCACGTGGCTGCAACAGCTGTGCGTCAAGAACCCGCTACGTGATAAAACTCATGGCGAGGTGGGAGAGGAGGACGCAGGACAAGAGGGAGAAAGAGGAGAGAGAGTTAGATCGTCGTTGTTCTCCTCGCTTTCCGAGGAAGAAGAGGAAGGAAGATTAGAAGGAGGAAGAAGACGGAGGTAGGAGGTATGCCGGACGATGGGGACAGAGCTATGGCTGGCACTAGCCTCAGGCGCGATGCGCACCGTGTTGGCGCCGTTGGGTCCGAGCTCGACTATGCGAAAACAGCCAGAAAACTTGGGAGCGAGTTTCTGGTCGCGTGCACATTTACGTACCTGCACTAGGTCCCCTAATTTATATTGATGCTGGGGCCCAGCATTCCCATTTCGAGCCTCGTAGCTACGGACCTGTCTACGGTAGGCCAGTTCGGTCATCCTTTGCCTTTTTTGGGCTAGCTCCGGGACAGCCCGTTCCATTAATTCGGTGTACCTTTTGGCCTTGGCCTTGAGAGCTGCACACGTGTCTCTACCCCCTGCTTTGGCAATTTCCGTGTTACCTCGGTAGTCGACACAGAGGAGGCTATTAGTTCGAAGCTGAAAAGGGGTAAACCCCGTGGACTCGTGAGGGGTGGCCCGGTGGATCCCGACGATCTGATATACGATCTCGGGCCAAGGACGCGTGTCATGTGCCGCTAAGTTCCTGCGAAGGGCGGTTTTGATCATACGGTTGGCATTTTCGGCCAACCCGTTTGACTGGGACACGTGGGGTGCCGTATGTCGGAGCGTGACGCCCCTTCGCGCAAGCAGTTCTTCTACCTCACCCTTGAATTCGGACCCATTGTCGGTCAGAATTTCTTCCGTATCTAGATGGGTATAGAGGAACCGTTCGATGTACATGGCTATTTCTGCGGCTTTTCGGGTCTTACAGGGATAGACTTCGATGTACTTGGAAAAATGATCTATTAATACTAGCAGGATAAAATATCCACAGCGGTTTGGGCCAGGTGGCACGCCGATATCTGTCGTGTCCATACTTACTCGCTGGAAAGGACGCTCTACTTCCGTTGGTACGATCGTGTTTGGTCCCCGTATAGGGGCGCGATCAGCGGCACAGACCAGACAGTTAGCGACAATGCATTTGACATCATCTCGTATATTGGACCAGAACCATCGGTTCTGATCTACAGTTGCCTCCGTGACACGTATTGCGAAATGAGCGGCCTGTTCTTGTGAGCAGATCGGATCCAATCATATCTCTAGAATGGGTGGGGAACCGTCAACCACGAGCCCGATCCGTCAGTTTTACGCTTTTCCAAATGACCGTTGACCCATCGATAGTCCCGAGATCTCTCGGTCGCCCTACGTCTGTCGTGTTTGGTGAGGTGGCCCAATGATAATCCCGCTAATTTCGCCAATAAAATTTTATCCGTTCAAACTTCCGCTCGTCGGTATTTTTCGTCATATTCAGGGTCGTCCGTACGGGCGGCCTCGAATCGAACCTCCGTGGGGAGTTTGTTCGTTCTACATAGGGGGCACCTCCACTCCTTGCTATTCGTCCGATATCGAACGCAGTCCCGTGCGCACGATTGACACACGTGGCACATTCTACCGAGTCGACAAACCCGGTTTCGAAAGGATGGCAGTCGACCCCATAGACCCGTGCAATGCACGTGCAAAAATAACAGAATTTATCGGGGAGGGTGGCAAAGAAAGCTGAGGATGTGAGAGGGGCAGAATTAGTAGGAGATGAAGGGGTAGCGGAGGCAAGTGGGGTAGTCATGATGACAGAGAAGGAAGGGATGCAGAGAGGGTAGAACAGACCAATGAGTCCTCGTGTCACTCACTGCTTCGATAAGATCTCCACTTGGCCGTACCGAGGTCCGATCTCCTGTTCGGGTTCGTTCCACGGAATTACCTCCTCACTCTTCGGAACCTTCTCAGGCCGGTGCAGTCGTGTCAGTCCGTCCGCATTCCCATGTCTCTTGTGCTTCCGATGACGAATGTCAAAGTCCATGCTCTGCAACACCGTTGCCCATCGCCCGATCAGAGTAATCCTTCGATTTCTTCAGAGCCAATAGGGGCTCATGATCAGTTACCAAGGTGAACTTTCGTCCGTACAGGTAAGCGCGAAAGTGGTTGATTCCCCAGAGAGCCGCGTAGCATTCCCCCGTCGGAGCGGCGTAGTTGCACTTGCAAGCTGGGACCGATTTGGAGGCGTATTCCACCACACCCTCGAGTGCGCTTGGTCCCACCTGGGCAAGGATCGCCGAAATCGCCTCTGGCTGCCAGTCAGTGATGAGAACAAAAGGTTTTTCGGGATCCGGTCTTATAAGGACCGGAGTCGAAATGAGAGCGGCCTTGAGTTTGGAAAACGCTTGATCGCACCTAGGCGTCCAGATCAGCGGCTGATCTTTGCACAACAGATTCGTGAGGGGTCCCGCAATCGCCGCGAAGCCCTTGGTAAATCTTCGGTAGTACGAGGCCAGGCCCAGAAAGGTGCGAACTTGCGTGATAGTTGTAGGCACCGGCGCATCCCTGACAGCTGCCACCTTCTGTGGCTCCGGCTGGAGTCCCTTGTCTGTCACCACGTGCCCTAGGAAGGAAATGGTGGTGAGAAAAAACTGACACTTCTCAAGCGCCACTTTGAAGCCCGCATCCCGTAACGCGTGTAGTGCCCATTCGATGTGCTGCACGTGTCCCTCGTAGGAACTCGAATACACTAAGATATCATCCATATACACAATCACGCAGTAGTTGACGATGCTCTGTGCCAAACGAGTCTTTCTCACGAAATTCTGAAAAGCCATGTTCATGGCTCGCTGAAAGGTCGCGGGGGCGTTGCAAATACCCATCGGACATCGAATCCACTGCCACGTGCCCTCGAAAAGTACAAACGCTGTTTTCGGACGATCTTCTTCTCGAACAAGAAGATGATGGAACCCATGGCGAACATCAAACTTGCTGAAAAATCGAGCACTCCCAATCGCATCCAACAATTCATCAATCCGGGGGAGGGGGTACACATCTTTGATCGTGATATCATTCAACTTTCGATAATCAATGCAAATGTGAATCCCTCCGGCCTTTTTAGGCACGATCACTACAGGGAAAGACCATGGACCTATAGCGGGTTCGATCCATCCATTAGCTTCGAACTCTTTAATTCGCTGAAAAGTGGCTGCTCTCTGAGCTGGCGAGTATCGGTAGGGAGCGCAGCTAATGGGCGGATGGTCTCCCGTGAGAATGACATGCTCGATCACATTAGTTAAGCCAATGTCGTTATCGTGTATGCTCAATACTTCTGCGTAACCATTTAACACACGAATTAATGATTTCCGAAGTTCCGCGGGGACGTGACGTGGAAGGGTGATTGTTGATTCCCCGAAAATCTCAAGGGGCATATCGACCCAATCATCCGGCCGTTCCCACCGATCATGGACACTAGAGAAAACGGAACTACTGGTGCGAACAGAGAAGACAGTTGCTATCATCTGGGACTCAGCTGCGCTGATCATCTCCGTTTCTTTAGCTTCAGCATCAGTCTCTGAACCAACCGAGGTTGGTTCCACAGTTAGCCCCGTTAGGTCGGTCATTTCTTGTAGTAGGTCAGGTACATCACTTACCGCTGCTTCCGCCTCTTGTTTAATCAAAGCGATGGTGGCTGCTGTCGTTAGTAACGTTCCGGGCGAAAAAACAGAAACATCCAAATATTGTTTCGTTTGCTGATAACGCGTTCGTAAGGAGAGAGCTCCTTCGTACAAGGTGCGAGGGGGTTCCGAATCATTGGCCAGGTCAGATACTTGTAATATAGGTTCCCCAAGCAGGACCGAAGGACTAACTTGAGTTATCGGAGGTGCAAGCGCGCTGTCTCCTGAATCCACGTGGAAACTTCGAGCAGGGTCGGGGCACACTTGGAATTCCTCGGGAATTTCGTGTTCGAAAAGTTCAACCAGGTGCTTCCATTCATCTTCGCTAGACAACTCTTCTTCGTATTCCTGTTCCCTGATTCCATCACTTATGTGCGAGGGAGAACGCTCATCGGGATCAATGCATCGAATCATCCCAATTTGGGCCGAGTTAGGGACCCGTTTTATCGTTCGGGTGAAAACTCGCAAAGGAACAGTTTGAGGCTTTCACCCAGTTTGCGTGAGCACCAATTGTTTCGAATCGAAATGCAGATGTGCGCCCACCGCCATCGCCCAAGGTAATCCCAACAACACAGAATAGGAACGTACATCTATTACGAGCGCGTTAACAAGTACGTGTACTCGTCCGACTTTTACAGCCACGTTCTCGATAATGCCTACGATGTTCATTGCTTCCTCGTCGGCAGAGACATAATTGTCTTTGCCAGATTGAGGAAGAATGGATCCAAGTCGTCCCGTCTTTTTGACAGTATCCAATGATATGGCCACGGCAAAAGACCCTGTGTCAATAAGGGCATTAAATGGCTTGCCCCGAACTTCACAGTCACATTCCGCACTCTTCCACAATACCGGCCGAGCTCGTACGAAGTGATCTTTTTCTGCTAAAGAGATCGCTGCTATTCGTGCGGCTTCGGGTTCAGGTTCTTTCGTGTCAGGCTCGGGGGGTGAAACTTCCTCGCTTCCTTCCTTCTTCTTCAACATCCGTTGTATGCGCTGATAGGTAAAGCGCTTTTGATTTTTCTGGCAATGTTGTAAAAGTTTATCGTTCGCCGCTTCAGATATGGTGAGCAGATGTCCTACAGGGATAGGAACGCGAATATCTAGTTGCTTGAGCGTTTTCAATACATCAATGTCTCCTGTCTGAAACTGCAGTCCAGGATTGGATTCACGATCGACCTATTCGAGATCATCTGGGGCCGATCGGATCGCTCCGATCTTGCCTGCGAGATGAAGATACTCGAGGGGATCGACCACGTCAGCAGCATCAGAGGAAGAAGCTCCCGAGGTCGACGCCTTTGCCATCGAAGGGGAAGGCTGCTCTGGGGCATATGCCACAAGTTCTCCTCCTTGGTCCGTATCCATCAGGGCGGCCACTCGTCCTTGATTAAGGGCGACAGGGGCCGCAACAGGGGGAGGCTGATTACGTTTCGGCTGCGGACAGTCCCGGGCGAAATGCCCGGGCTGTTTGCAATTAAAGCACTCGATCTTTCCTGCTGGATTAGCTAGATGAGGGAACTGAGTTGCGAACCCTGGAGCAGGCGGGGCAGGTAAGAGCGGAAATGATGCGGGGGTCGGTCGAGCAGAGGCCGGGTTAGGCTTGATTAGCCTACACTCATTATCTGTTCTATCCATTCCATGTGAGCAACTTCCATTTGGATCAAGTTGCTCATCCATTCGGACTGCTTGGTAGTGGCCATATGGATCATCTGGGCAAGATGTAAGTTGGTTATGGCCGGCGAGGAGGGTTCGGGTGAGATTCCGCTTTTAACGACTGCGATCGATTGATTCACCGGGGGAGAGGAAGAAGAAGCAGGCGGGGTATCGGAGACGATCCCGCCGGAAAGGTCACTGTCGGGGCGGGGATAAAACCGTTCGACCGCCTGCAGCCATGATCGCCTTTTAGCCGTTACATCCCGTATGGTATCTGTAATGTCTTCGTCTCCCTGGCTGATATACTTTTTTGTAACAGCCAGGTCCAGTTCCAATGCTTAGTGATGATAGCCGATAACTGGTGTGTTTTCGGCGCTACTTTTTTCTGCTGTTTGCCTTTCAATGTAGGACTTCGTAGATGGCCGATGAACAAATCTCGAGCGGATTTCTCGTCTCGCCCGGATTTGTCCAGAGTGGTTTGAAATCGATCGACGAAATTGGGTAATAATTCCCCTGGTCCTTGTGGCCGATTTTTGAGCACGTACCAGGCGGCATCTTCAATGACCGTATCGAATCAAGCCAAGAAGGCTTGCTTGAAAGTATCCCAATCTACCCACGTGTGTTTTCTAAACCAGTCATGCGACGTATTGCGGAGTAGCAATGTCAGAACGCGAGGAAGATCAGATGCGCTGTAGTTTTGAGCTTCTACAACTTCCAAGCAAGCCTCGGGATGGGTATGATTAGGGAAGAAAGGGAAGGGGGCGGGGATACTAACGATCACCCTAGTACCGTCCACCATCGGTGTTGTGGGTGCAGCCACACCAGACTGAGACCGGGTCACTGGGCGGTCCCGACGAGCTAGTTGAGGGTCTCTCCTGCCTCTCCCCAATTCGACTTACTATCATCAGAACCGACACGTGTCGGCTCCGATACCAACCTCACGCCGTGTGCCGTCTTTCGCTCGGAGTGTTAGGCGTGCGGAAAAAGGCCCAGAAAAACAGCAAGATGGGGTGTGCCAAGGATTTTTGGAAATTGAGCGTGGGGACACAGATGGAACTGAAATCCCCCGTGTTGGTCCAATGACGCAAGTCGATTGCTTTCGCGCGTCGCGGAATGCGCGCGCGGGCACGGCGAGAAAAGGGAAAAATCCAAATTCACTCCAAAAAGTATTGTCGGGCTTCCCATCGAGCTACAGCACGTCGTTTAGAACGGAAAGGCTTTGGCACGCTCCGCGTGTCTCGTTTTCGTATCAAATCTCGTCGTCGTTCGATGGTCAGTTCCGAGTCCGACGTGGATGGTCTCATCCGCGTGGCCCTTTCTTTATGCTCGTCTTCACTCCGCACACGGTAGTGGACACCCCTGGATTCGTAGYGCTCAAAACGCTGGCATTCGGTGCATAGAGTGCGCGGCCAGTGGGGTTCTACTGCCGTCCACGGGATGACGATCAACTCGTTGAATGGCTACAATATCGAGTAAGGTGGGAAGTGCGTATCGATAATGACAAACCCAGCCTCTACGAACCCTGAACAGCGGTTGGCCGGAGGAAAGTAGTATCGCCCGCCGATCTGTGCGACAGCTTCTCGTACGTCCCACTCGCATACACGTGTCCTTTCCTCGTTGTACGAAAAAGGCCGTGTTGGGACGGGAGGTATGGGAGGCTGGTGCCCGATCGGAGGGTACTGGTCGGTCCACATATCAATCAATTGCAAAGACCTTGCGACGCCATCAAGAAAAGAAAACACTCGCGCAACTCATAAACAATTTATCCTTCAACACGAGAGGGAGAGAGAGAGAGAGAAAGAAGACACTTCAGCAGCTTGATCATGCATATAACTAAGGGACCGATCCGCGGCTCARGTTCAGTGAGCCAGCGCGACGTTGATCCCAAGCGCCTTGTTTCTCGAGGCCGCCTCCTGGTTCGGCTGCTGATGTCGGACAACATAAGGCAGATAGCATGCGCAGTGCACTGCTACAGATCTAAACACTCTTGCATTCTCAGACAAAATCCCGACGACAATCATCTAGTCAATGCCAAAGAGACGCGCATTTCCATACATTCATTTACTGTGGAAGATGCGAAAAATGAGCCGTGCACAGGAAAAGATGGATCGCTTGCACAGTACACACGCATCCACCGTTCACAAGACAAGAAGACGGGGTCCTTGCGCAGGAGGATTACCCAGGAAACTAATGGAAGAGTTCCGGAAGAAGTTCTTTCACGCAAGGAAAGCATACAGATTCATGCTCATCCAGAAGAGGGA